CCCATCGCCAAGTCGACGTCTTTTGGAAATTGTGTCTCTTTATCCACGTTGCAAAACAGTCTCGATTCAAGAAAATGGAAGCGATTTGAAGCCCTGAGGTTCTACTGCAGGTTCGTAGTATACGTGAGCTTGGACACACTTCTTTCTTGCCTTGTGATTCTCGGAGCCGCGTGGGTAAATTACAAGATCAGCTGTACTAGTCTCCCTTACCTAGTCTCCCCTGCACCCCAAAACGTTTATATCCGAGGTCGATATATGTTTGAGCAAATGAAGTTTTTCCAGAAATACAAAGATACATTGAGATTCACACGCTGTATCTGAATCGGATGCGAAGCCTGGCCCAGGGTGAGAAATGAAAAAGTCTCGCGGTTAAGTTATTAGGGACCTACATGGACCTATGCGGCTATGCCACAGCTTCAAGCATCGCTGGCATCGACGATTGATGATGAAACTCTTGTAATCATCATCTGGCTTGTATTGTGTAGCAGTTAAGACATTGCACAGCAACTTGTAGGGCCGAGCACAGTTTGCGCTAAATACAAGGGTCGTTGCATGAAATTCGGATAACGTAGAAACAAATGCCGAAAGATGAGACTGAGTAAAAAAATTGATTACTAGCCTAGGCTTAGCTGTACGTTTAGTCCCGTCAACGAAGGAAACGAGTAAGGCTTCGGCGCCGACGGTCGAGAAAGGGTCTTTGAACGTCAACAGTCACGACATCGACTCATACCACACGGTCATACCAAAGTTATACCCTCTCTTTCTCCTTTCAGCGCTACTTTAGCATCACTTGTCGACGACAACGTCGAGCTCGCTGTCTTTGACGACGATACACACACTCTCTAACCCGTAATGAAGCAACCACCAGCGTCCCCTTCGTCAGCCCGGTCTCCGCGCAATCAATTAATTGGCCATCCAACTTTGGACCTCCATCACTCACATCATCATCATCATCTCTCTCCTACTTCTGCTTATCCATTACCGACGAATTTGCCAAAACCTACAAAGAGCTCTGCATTTAAAGGTTTACAATCTGTTTTCCAGCGCAAACCACCGGATCGCTCGCTATCCTCGAATTCTCTCCGCTCTTCCTATTCAGCTTCCAACGCATCCGCCACAGATAGTCACAGCCCTCATCCATACGCCGCAATGCCTCCTTTACCTGTTGTATCAAACAATGAACATGTCGATGACGAACAAGAATGTCCTGTATGCCTGGAACCCTTGAGCTTCAGCTTCAGACTTCCCGGAGAAAAGCCCCATGTAGTACCAGAGTGTGGTCACTCTCTTCATGAGGTCAGTTCTTTTCTTATCGTAGCATCTCAGTCCATCACACTCCCGTTCGTCTTACCATAGGCATGCTTTACCGCTGTATATGGCCCTCCTCCAGCGCAATCTCGCTCTGCAGTGCCTCGCAAATCAAATCTTGGCGTCTGCGGTGTTTGCAGACGACCCATGAAAATTGGCGACGGAGACAGTAGCAGAAACAATAGTGAGTCACGCTAGACACAAATCATCCATTAACTTCACTATGCTACAGAACTCGCCGCTCTGACTGGCATGGGCAATCCTCATAACCCTGCAGTATATCCCGGGCGGGATCAAGGCTCACGCTCTCACCACAGCCCAGTACCTCAACAACCCTATGACCCCACAGATGACGATCCAATAGACCACGCCGTCTCAGTCAAATCAACCCCCAGCGAATCACACTACATCGTCGCACCTTCCATCCAAGTCCGCCCCGAATTTTCTTCTATCACTCGGAATGGCGAAGCTTGTCAACCTTTGACCTGCATTGTTGTAATCGAGTTACCTGCCAGGCGTGGAACGGCTCATGTTCCGGGTCCTGTCATGGCTGATGCATACGGTTCTCGCAGTGCTCATACGCTCACACGAAATGATACCGTAACAGAGCTGCCTCATCCGTCCCAAAGACAAAATGATACCTCGCGACATCCATCCCAAACTCAGCGTTATGATTCATATACCGAGCCATGGTCATCTACCAATGCCGAGTCTTCCTATCACAGGCCAGGCCCACCAGCGGAGGAAGAGGGTGAAGAATCGTCACCTTTCAATGCTATCGTTGAGGATTTGCGCAACCGGATAATAGATTGGAAGGGCCACGCATTGTCTGGCCTTGGCCCCCTGCAAATGTATGACATGCTGTCCGTCCGCCGAGATGCCCTTGTGCGGGAGTTTTTCGTGTACCTCTTTAAGGAGGCCATCATTTGCGTTGTAGAGGAGAAAAAGCGGTCTCTTGGCCGGTTCCTGTCGTCCCCAGCCTTCAACGATGCCTCAACTTCTGTGTCAGGGTTAAGCAACCAGTCCAACAAGGGTGTCCTGCGCCTCAAGGGTCGCATTTATGTACGACATATCAAGCGGATTACCGCGAGCACAAGCGGGGAAATGAGCATCACCATCGAAATGGAAGATGAGCGACTCGACTCCTTCATCCTCGTTTTCAAAGACCGCTCTTCCATGGATGCGTGGAAGAGTCAGATCCAGGGCCTGGTAAATGCCTTCCAAAATCAAGCATCGCCGCCGCAGCCGTCCATCGACCGTGGCCTGGACATGGATGAGTTCGGGGATTCAGGAAAGGCTGCGCGGATGCTCAGCGGGAGCACTGCGTCCACATCACCAAGTACAGTCGATAGTCTACTCCAGGGTTCCTCACGCTCCACCATGTCCTCGTCGACCTCCCATGGTTCCACGCCGCAACCTCAATCTAGACAAATGCAAACCAGACTCCAACCCCTCGGTGAGGAGGATGTACTTTCGCACTATGAGACGCATCCTTCAGGCTTGGTCGCACCACATGTATCTACTGGACCTTCCAATTCACTTGCTCCCCTCCCACATACGGCAATTGATCTCATTCTTATCGTATCGCTTCCTCCACCGAGTGCTGCCCGCAGCACTGCGGCGCTTAAGCTCCGGGTCATCAAGGCATCACTGGACTTTATCCTCGCTTCTCTCGGAACCAAGGACCGGTTGAGTCTTGTAACTTTTGAAGTAGGACCTGGCGGGCGTGTGCGCAAGACACCGTACCTTTGCGTTGGTAAGGCGCTCAGCCGAGGAAGGCTGTCCAAATTCATTGATGAAATTGGACGTCCGGATGAGGGACAAGATGACGAGTTCTTGGTGAGAGCATCCAAAGAGGAGAAGACGGACGTTGTGACTGCGGTTAACCATGGTTAGTGGTCAGCTGTTCATTTTTACTTCCTGCTGACCATATGTCTTGAAGGTCTCGATGTTGTACTTCAGCGCAAAACTCGCAATCCTATCTCGGGAATGGTCTTGGTGAGCGATGCTGCTGATAGCACGCGACGTGCACAGATGGATCTTGTTCTTGCCCGTGCCGAAGCTGCAAATATGCCCATTCACTCGTTTGGCTATGGTCGCTCCCACGACCCTGCTTCGCTTTGGCTGATGTCGAACCACACCAGCGGGACATACACCTTTGTCAAGGACTGGTATGACCTCCGTAGCTGTCTTGCTGGCTGTGTCGGCGGCATGATGTCCATTGGCCTACTCAACATGAAGCTGCACATGAAGATCGTCGACGGTCAGCGCTTCCGCATTCGCAAGGTCTCTGGCGGGCCTTCATCCATCCTCTCTACGGATGGCCACAACGTTGACATTGACGTTGGCGAGCTTCGCTATGGTGAATGCAAAGAGATGCTTATCGAGTGTGAGCTCGACAATACTGAGATTCGCCGTCCTTCTGCGCACAACGGTAATCGGGCGCTCAATGCCACGGATCAGTTCGTGCAGAGCATGGGTCTTGATTCTACAACCATTGACGATGGTACTGATCTCGTGGACGGCATGATGGACCGGATGATTGATGAGGTTCCGGTGTTCGAGGTTGACGGGTCTTTCTATGATCCCAGCGCATCGAAACAAGTTTCACGCCTCGCCCATCCTGTCCTCTTGACAATCACTCTCCTTCCTCAAGCTACCACTATCTCTCCCAAGCCAGTCAAACCATCAGATCCAGTAATTGTCCGGCGCAGAATGGAACTTCTCGCATCTGACATGATCACGCGCGCTCTTGTCCTCGTTTCGAGGAAGAACTACCCTCAAGCCCAGAAGATCATGAACGAGACCAAACGCATCTTGCACACTGTGCTGCAGAGCATCTCCAAAACACTTCCTCCGCCCAATACCGAAGGCACGACGATGCGCAACCGCAAGGATGTCCTCACTCTTGCTGCGGTGCGTGCGATGCAGGCTATACTCCAAGACCTTCAGATTTTGGCAGAGGCTTTAGAAGAAAATGTCGAGCTGTTTGCACATGACCAGCGGAATTTTGGTGCACAGCAGGTGCGTGCATGTTTTTTTGAAGATCTAACAATAGGACTGACTGTGGGTCATAGGCTATGATATTGCGTGACCAGAAAAGTTGGAGTGGACGCAGTGCCACAGAACGCCTGTTCTGGACCATTGACAACTCCATAGAACTGGTTTCTCGGAGTACCGATTGGGTAGCGCGCGACTGATACCCCCTGCCCCAAGACATCATCTCTTTCTTTTCTCTTTTTCATTATGCCCCTCGACTGGCTACCCTATCTTATTTGTGTTCATGCTTTCTCGTTCTGTTATGCCAGCGTGGTTTCAACCCCATCACGTTCCTTCCCTTGTGCCACTGTCCTTCCTTGTCCTTGTCCTTAAGTATCACCCAGCTCCGGACCCTCTTAATGTAACCTCCCGCGGTCTCGTCTTTATGTCGAGGGATGCGCTTTATGAATCCTCTCTTCCTGGATGTTCCTAAATTTTTATTTCCGCGTGTTATTTACTTAACTGTGACTTCTCATTATATATCCACTCCCACTTTTCTTTTATTCCTGGCCCAAGAGATGGGAGTAATGTAGTTGTTTGATTATGTAGGAAGGAATAAAGCTTTTTTATCATCATTCTCCTGTTCATTATAATGAGCGTAAAGTACCTATGTATGATGGAATTATCATGGCGTGGAGGTGGGCTGTTAGTGTCTATTCATAACCTAGTCGTTGGCGCTCTTCGCGATCACGTTCGAGTTTTGTGACTTTATTTTCGGTTTCGGTGAGGACGTCATCCCATGCCACGAAAAGTTCGGAGAGCGCATCCACCTAAAAGAACAAGTCAACTTGCGAAAACTGGTTGAAGATGTACGAACGAATACACACATGAGTAGCATGTCTGTCGACAAGAGCTGCTATTCGTTTCTCTAACGACGCAGCCAATCTAATATCCTCCTGATGCGCTTCCAAAAGCGCGTCCAAACGAGGCTGCAAGGTTTCATAATCTAAAGACAATCGGAGATGAGAATCTCGGTGAACGATCAGTGTGAGTCTACACGACGGACCTGCGAGTTTTCCAGCTGCTGTGACGCCTTTCTGTTCTAGCATTTCGATCTCGCGCATGTCCCTATCTGCAGCTCGAATTTCTAGTTCCATCTCTACCAGGAGCGCTTCAAGTTCTTCTGGGGACATGTTTTCGTATGCCGGGGCTGGCCCAGGGAGCACCCCTGACAGAGCGAATGCTGCAGTTAGTAGATGGGCGTGTAGGTCATCTATAGTAGAGGATAAACGCGTCAGAAACGTGACGAAAGGCGTGTTTTGGTGACCTTACATTTGCTCATGAATCTCTGAAGGCCATCATTGGATTGTATGACGTTGTCGAGGCGCTGTTGTACGTCCTCGGCTAAGCGAATGAGGGTTTCACCGTGCTTGAGCTCTGGTACTTTGTCCTTCCCTTTACGATCCCGCGCATCCTGCCGCACGCCTAGAATCAGCGCTTCCAGCCATCGGAGTCTCAGCTCCAGCGATAGGATGGGATCTATGACGGGAGGTGCGGTTGACGGTTCGAGTTGTGCTAAAGGCGTCACAGCAGCCGGAGTCGGCTGTTCATCAGACAGCTCTGACTGGACATCATCCAAAGGTTCTACGAGTTCCTCGAGAAATTGTGAGACAGATCCAACACTCATTTGATGTCCGAGTTGGCTGGGCGGAGGTGATGACGGTGGAGGTGTGGAAGATATTATACGATGTCGCTGGAAATCTCCCAAGAATACGCTTCCAATGGCTGACATGGAGACAGAATACCGTTAATCGTGAGATATTACCCTTACGTCTCGTAGTGAAGTTGTTCGTTATTCGATCTACTAGGTGGCCTACTAGAAAAGGCACCAGAAAGCCTCGTGCCTTTCTCCTTGAAGCCGCGCGCACTTGCTAGTTACTATCTGTGATCAGGTTTTCCGGGGGGCGGATGCGGCGCCGGGGCCCAGATAGCGCCTCATGTGTAAGTAAAAGCGGTCGAATGTCCAGTGTACTCGCTAACTACAAAACATCGTACAAATGATAAACATGATAAACGCGGCTTCCAGGCAAACTGATGATATCTTATGTATGTCAGTAATGATACAATGAACAGAGTGAGTTTTCAGTGAAATGTTTAGATATGTATCAGTTTATAATTAGAAATAATGATTAGCTTGGATATACCAGAGTAATTCATGGATGCGAAGACTTTGACGACGCACCAAGGGATAGAACACACCATTGCATCACTGAAGATGAAGAAACCGTACTCCGTACGTTTGCGGGGGAAATCGCTCAAGCTCCGCAACAATACGTTCTCCTGTGAATACTCTTCTGAACCGGCCATCGCGAAGACGTTCTAGCAGGATCGCAAAGAATTGGTTCTTGAGTCGTTGACGAAGCAGCGGCATGGTAATGTGGTATACATGTGAAGAGTCATAAGACAGTCGTGGATCCCAGGTTCGTGCCAGCAGATAACGAGATGAGGAATGGTGGTCAGGTGTAAATATTTCCAAATTCTCGGAGGTGACAAGACTGAATGGTCGGATGCCATCTGCACAACAAGAGTATGACCCCGAGACCGGTGTGAAGTAAAGCGACAGTACTTCATGCACAAAGCACGGCACAGTAATGTGAATTTCAGCGTTAAGAGTGTATGGCCGTGGGGGCTTCTCAAGCAGTCTGGCAAGGGGTATCATCTCGCTCCCTTCAAACGGAAAGCTTGTAGACCGTCCGAGCGAAAAAATGCTCTGACTGCTTGTGGTCTTTGCAATGCGTGGTGCGCCATCGTCGTCGGACATCTCAACGCTTAGCTCCTGACCTGTGTTAGGACCATTCCGGACACGAGACGAGCTGAACATGAGGCGTGTAAGCACGAACACGTACTTAAATTGAAAAATCTCACTTTCTTGCCCTGCGGATAGCCTTTTTAAACACATAGACGACCTGAGCAGCCAACGCAAAGCTCAAAACAGGGTGAGGGAGGGTGTCGAAACACATTTCCATAGTTGCGAAAGGAGCGTTCGAGAAACAACTCGGGGAGGAAGGAAGGCAAGTGTTCAAAGTGGAAGGCTGCCCAATCCAGTCGAGGAGAGTCGCATCTCCCGTGCGCCTCATGATCTCCATCAAAAGTCGAGAGAATGCCTGATCACCCTCTCCGTAGGTAACTGACATAGTGAATCCGAAGATTCCCATCAAGCAATACGCTTCGTCTTCCTTCTCCTTGGTCACTCTATTCCGAGCCCATCTAAGCTTCATTCGAGGGTGCTCGACACTTGGGGAATAGAACTTGAGGTAACTTCTCTGTATCCCAGTTGCAGATTCTAACGCAACCAGGATCTCAGCAACGTTCTTGTGGTTGGATTCTGGGGAAAATGGAGTCCAGTCCTTCTTGTAGAGCCGAATGACCTTGGCGGCAAGCAGTTCCTGAAGAGTCCAACCTCTCCGGAACCACTCGCTCAGTAAAAGTGCTTGATTGCTGGATTCCACGACATCAGAGAGGTAGATGATCGTCAGTGCCGACCCGCGATACCATGAGAACATGGACGAGATGGACTTCTGTACTTCGGCGCTGCTCCCCTGATCAATGCAGCATGTGTCGATCCATGTCCAGCGAAATCCACGACTGCGCGCCTTGTCGCAGAGATTACGAACTTTGTCGAATCTCGATGTAGAAAGTGTATAGACCCCCTCTTGCGGGATATCTCTGAAGCCAGGTTCGTCGCCCTCCCACCTGTGAGAGAGCATGGTATATTCAAAGAAGGGTTTGACCACTTTAAGGATGTACTGCTTTTCTTCCAGAGCAGACCTGGTGGTTGTGAGGTGGAGAAGCCAGCGAAATATATTTGACTCTTCGAATTTCGTGATGAGAGCGGAGCGAGCATAGATTTTTCCATCTTCGGTATTCAGCAACCGGAGGGGCATGTCACGAAGTATTGAATCTGCGATATCTTGAATTGCCTGCTTGACTTGCTGTTTGCTCACGCTTCCAGGTGGAAGGTCGTCTTCTCCGTCACCCCGTGCGGTATAAAAACTCTGCAATTCAATTTATATGTCAGGTCATGTATCGTGTACAAGGAACAAGGATTACCTCTACAGAAGATTGTCCATCTGGGATCCGAAACATCTGTAGTGAACAAGGTTGTGGAAGTCAACAGAAGAAGCAGGCAATAAGTTGTTGCCCCGAGGAACTCGTACTAAATGGGAACAATTGATCATACCTTTCGTAAGTTGACGATGACTCCTTTCAGGTGCGCAGGAACGTGTGGCGGCTGGTAGCAGATGGACCTTGAACCCTTAATAGTGTGATATCACCTGATAAGCTGATACCCTGCAAAGCATTGGGTTAACAGATATACTATTTCTGGCTTGAGAGCACCCGCGTCTAACTCGTAGCTTCGGGATTAAGTACCTTCAAGTATACTTGTAGAAAACCGGCATGAGTAGATTCATACTACACTATGATAATCGGGGGAAGGGCAATGTCAAACTTGTAGCACATTGCGTCAATGGACCCGGAGATTGCAGGGTCACCGGGTGGGCCGGCCGTGACTAGTGCTCACGGCCTATCTGCTGACGGCGCCTGTGCATCGAATGTCATTCGTTTTCACCACGTTGAGCGATATGATGCACAGAAATGCACAACAGCGTAGTACTTGGCACCAGTATGAATTTGAAGTAAGTCAGAATCGTCGTGCCAGAGGGTGTCTTGGGCCACTCTCGGGCTGGGCAGGTTCAGCGATACCATAGTGACAATTAGGGTCACTTTGGCCCATCAGAGAACCTGTGAGAAGAAGATATCGTCATAGTATATCGTTATATATCATAATCCCCAGCAAAAACTTACCGGTTTACTGCGCCTTGGCTCGACCACCTCAGACCTGCCAAACCTCCAAACTTGAATATGATAAGAGTCCGTGATATGATACTGCTCAAATAATTGGGGGACATACAATACACTCACTATCGCATCTGAATCTGTCCATAGAACTTTCTGACTGTGTCTCATGTGTTAAGGAAAGGATGTAAGCCGCTTATGATATTATAAACAGACCACGTCGCGACACCGGAGTTGACAGCTCCGAGTCAGCTGGAGCCAGTAACGTTGACGTATAGCTATGCAGTTAACATGGCAAGTACTGTACATGAATTCAGAAGACATGACAATATTTGTTGGAGTCAGAAATGACCACCCCCATCATGAAGGCACGACTGCTTTCTGATGCATAGTGCGTTTCAGTCGGTAACGATTATTTGCCTCAGTCTCTAACTTAGTAATAGGTAGTCACTACACTAGGTATACATCAAGTCAACATCAAATAGTACACATACAACCAAACTTTCAAGTTATCCAACTATCTTACTCAAACACTATCCGACATTTCCATCGAAAGCTGGCTATACCCCTCATCCACCCTCCGCCTCCTCACCAATCCCTTCACCGAATCCCACATATCGTCCATCACATTCATCCCGCTCTCGAACAATGTCTCCCCAGGAACCATCTCCCCGGGCATCACGCTCAACACTGGCCGTCGCCACCATCGCAGCATCAGGGAACTCGTCACTACGCTCACCGACGAAAACGCCATTGCGGCACCTGCCAGCATCGGATGCATGTACAACCCAAAGGGTAAGAACACGCCCATCGCAAGCGGAATTCCAAGTACATTATATATACACGCCCAGACAAGATTTCGTCGGATCGTCGAGAAGATACTGCGCGAAAGGTATAGCGCAGCGACGACGTCGAGAAGATCAGAACGCATGAGAACGATGTCGGCAGCTTCTATAGCTACGGAGGTCCCTGAGGAGAGGGCGATGCCGACTGTGGCAGCCACAAGGGCGGGTGAGTCATTGATGCCATCACCGACCTGAAAGGATAAGATGCACAGGTCAAATTCAAGTCATCCGAACAAAGTAGAGACACATGCCATTGCTACACCGCCATTGCCCTGCTTGATGAGATCGGTTACAAGGGACGCCTTGCCTTTGGGACTCATGTTGGCCCAGACACCATCGGACTTGATCCCCACTTGCTTGGCAACCGCCAGAGCTGTGACCATCCCGTCACCGGTCATCATGTTCACCTCAATGCCCATGCTCTGTAGTGCCTTGACTGCCTGCGCAGACGAGGGCTTGGGGGCGTCCGATAAAGAAACTGCAAGCAAAGGCAACGGAGCAGAAGATGCCCGCGACGAAGAAACGAAGATTACGGTGCGACCGAGCTTGGTCTCTTGAGCCTCGTAATTCGTCAAAATGGAAGGCAGTTGTACAACATTGGATTGCGCGATAAACCGTGCATTTCCAATGTATAAAGTATAATTGGAACCAGATGATGAGATGAGAGCTTTCACACCAGCGCCAGTCACGCTCTCGAAAGACTTGATGTCCAATGCTGGTGATTGGACATCAGCACTGGCAAGTAGACTCTTGCCATGAGCGGCGATAGCTTTCGCCAGAGGATGCTCAGACTTGCCCTCCGTCGCAGCGACCATTGCTATGACAGTTGCGCGCGTAGTAATGCCATCAGCACATTTGAACGACAGAGATCGAGAGCCGACGTTGTCATCAGGTAAGAGTTCAGAGGAATTGTGCGGGGGCATCCATGTCATACCCGCAACAGTGAGTTTCCCCTGCGTGACGGTGCCTGTTTTGTCCAGCACAATCCGTTTGATCGACCGACTAGCTTCAAGTGCCCTGCCACCTTTGATAAAGATCTGGTTCTTTGCACCCACACCCGTGCCAACCATGATGGCAGTCGGCGTACTCAATCCTAGAGCACACGGGCATGCGACCACCACCACTGATATGCACATCTGCAAACAAACTGCTAACCGGCTTGCGCCATGGCGGTGGAACATAGCTGGGAGCGCATCCTCGCTAATGACATTTGAAATCACCATCCACGTAGCAAATGTGAATACTGCGAGCGAGATGACGGCGGGAACAAAGAAGCCTGCAACACGATCCGCAAATGTTTGAATTGGTGCTTTGGACGTCTGTGCCTCTTCGACGAGTTTGACGATTTGTGCAAGCGCCGTGTCTTTGCCCGCACGTGTCACGAGCATGTCGAAAGTCCCAAGGCCATTGACAGTGCCCCCAATGACGCTGTCTCCAGGTTGTTTCAAAGCCGGAACCGGTTCACCAGTGACGGCGCTTTCATCCACGGTGGATGATCCTCGAATAACCGTCCCGTCAGCGGGCACTTTGTCTCCGGGAACAAGTTTGACAGTATCCCCCACTTGCACCAGCTCCGTAGGAATGCGTTTCTCTTGCGTGCATGTTGGAGAATCCGTGTAGATTGTGGCCATGGTGGGCGCGAGGGCCATGAGATCTGTCAGAGCAGCACTTGTCTTTCCCTTTGCGCGGTTCTCGAGATAACGCCCGAGGGATACGAACATGATGAGCATAGTACTTGTGTCGAAGAAAATGAAAGGCCGGTAGTCAGGCGTGGTGTTGAACGCCGCAAAGAGTAAGGCAAATGATGAATAAAAATAAGCCGCAGAGGTTCCGAGCATAACCAAGACGTCCATGGTCGCGGTACCATGTTTGAGTGCCTTAAACGCATTGCGATAGAACTTCCGACCGACCCAGAATTGTGCAGGAGTCGTAAGGCCAAGAGAAATAAGATCACCGAGATAGATACCGTTGAATAGATTAAAACCGACGAGGGGTCGAAGGAATGGTATGTGCATAGCGATCATACTGACGAAAAATACTGGGACGGCGAATGTGAGCGCCCATTTGAAGCGACTGGCCCACTCTTGGATCTCTTTTGTTCGGGCAAGTGATTGTTTTTGCGTCGCGTCCTCTTGATCTGACAATATTGCATCGAAACCCATATCTTCCATGCGTTCGACCATTTCCCGAGGGCCAACGAGACTTGGTTCAAACTCTATCTTGGCTGTCTCGGTGGTAAGTGAGACTGCAACACTAATCACCCCTGACATCCCACGCAGCCCCGTTTCTACAGTCGATGTGCACGAACCACATGTCATGCCATATATGCGCAGTGTGATCATATCAGACCGCGCTATTGGTATTTCAGTGGCATCAAATCCTATGTCTGAAATTTCCTGCCAATAATGATTAGCATGCGCCTGATGCGTCAGCGACGGACTAACATTGACAATCTTCTCTGGTGTCCATACTGAGGGGTCATACTCGACCACACCTCTTTCGGCAAGAAGTGCAACTTTGATGGAATGTATGCCGGCTTGCGACCTGAGCATGCCTTCAATAGACTACAACCCATGAGTACATGTATAATGCATCGGTATGAGAGGAGCTTACCTCTACACATGAACCACATGTCATGCCTTCTATTCGTAGTTCACATTTTCCAAAGCTACCGTTGTCATCCACCTTGGTGACTGCCAGCGCCTCACCTTCCATGAGAGGAAGTTCGACATTTCCAAGAGCTACGGGCTTCGCCCTTTCCAAGACGCTTGACACAATGCCAGATATGATGGACATGCTTCAGATAGCCGCGAAGGGCAAATATTTATATATGCAACGCCTGGTGCACTACGCCTGGCTGGAAGTTCGGAACCGTTCTCGGTTGGTGTACGTAGTATTTTAGAGAAGAGAAAGTGGGCGCCAGCACTACGATGGCGATGGGATTACTTATAGGCCAGCTTTGAGGCTCAATCAGCGAGCGAAGGAAGGCTTTGTAAAGGAGACCGGCCGAGCTGTTGCAGTATTCACCGCATTTTAGTATGAGGCACACGTAGGTCTATATGTCTTACGTCATCATTCTAACCGCTGGACTCGGAGGCCGCGAAGCCCCTTACATACCTCTTTCTCACCTTATCCGACAGTGCCTGGACGCCTGAACTATGTAGGTTGTCCTCGATGAATCTTTCAGTTTTGCACAATCGTGCAGTGAAATCGCGGGCTTAAGTTGGTGTTGAAAATTAATATTGCCTGCATTCCTTCGAAGAGCTGTGACCCTCTCTCCTTGGCAGCGATACCATTTTAATCGGTATCGGGCACTGTCGATGCTAGGATACCCAGCACCCCGTTTTCGGTTCAAGTTTCGTGGGATCCTTTCAGCGGTGCTGTCAATGAGCGATGTCAGGTATGTGAGTGGATCCAGGATAATGGCACATTTTCTCGCTGGCA